TTAATCTAGATGTTTACTTAACCTTGAAACACCAAACTTAAAATGAAGCTGCTGTTTTAAAAGCTTTTCCTCTAACCTATGATTTAAAACGGAAATATTTTTACTGAAAAGGACACTGTTTGTATAAGATTACTTGGATTAGTTAGTGAGGAAAGTTACTTAGTTAAACACACATTCAGACAGCCATAGGACTATGCAACGTTTTGAAACTGCTTATAAGTGAGATACTTACAACCAAACAATGGAGGCAGTACAGGTGACCAAAAGCATAGACAGAGCTAAATGCCAGCAGAAACACATTGTGACAAACATCATGTTGTCATGTAGCTTTAAATCCCATGCGTCTCCATTTAAGGGGTAGAGAACAACTCCAATCTGAAGAGACAAAAAGAGATAATAGTTGAACCTGTATGTTTATAGTATAGGGATAAATGAAATCATAGTGAAGGTTATAAGAGTGAATTACTGGTATTCCTCTTATTACTTTTGCTCCAAACTGTAGTAACTATTTTATGCATTAATCATCCACAAAGTAAGTTGACTGTTTGGGGTGAAAACTAGTTTAAAAAGAAGTATGGAAACCTTCTTTATATGTACACCTTTTAAATTCTGCTGTAAAGGTCCATCACTGTAGAGCGGCCTCAGAACGAACAAAATGTCAATTCTAAATTATGCATAATTGTGCAGAGAAAAGAAAAAGTTTAGTTTTTTTACTTTTTATGAGCAAGTTTGCAAAGTATTCAGTTATGCTGAGGGAAACGTTAGAGCCAACGTCTTTTGGAGTACATCTCTGGATTATTTAAACATCTACAGATTAAAATTATTGCCAAATTTTGTTTCACAAAATAGCTAAAGCTTAGTCCGGATGGTTTGCTTGTGCCTGGATTCTAATTTTTCTGGCATATTTTTAATTGGTTTTAGGTCTGGACTTTGACTGGGCCATTTTAATACATGAATAGAGTTTGATGGAAACCAGCCAGTCGAGTCTTGGATCCATGTTAACGGTCAGCTGGTAACAGTTCCTCTTTCTAGATTCTCTATCTTTCAATCAACTAACCTGTTTCCCTGTCATTAAAGCCTCCCCACCACATGGCACTACTGCCACCACTATGCTTTATAGTGGGCTCATTGTAGGTTATTTTCTATGCTGAGATAATGTGTAGAACATAGCTTTGTGAAATTTTACAGCCCAACTCTGTTAAATATCTTCCTATATCCACCCCTCACCTCTGCCTTGCCTCTTGGTCATGATGCCGATTAGCCGCTTATGTTCTCTAGCAAACCTCTCAGGCCTGGATTTATACTGAGAGAGAAACTGAAGACAAATACAGTACAGTTGGTGGTTTTAATATGCCTAACAGTGTCGAAAGGTATTAAGGATCTGAATAATTTTAAATGGTGCCAACAAGATTTGAAGGTTGTTGTTTTTTCCCCCCTTTGTTTATTTGATAGCCATACATTTGAATAACAGATGCAACTATTGGGAAATTTAAGGATTTCTATGCAGGTCCTTTCAGGAAGAGCCTGAATAAAAATCTGATGTGTTAAATCACCTGGTAGAACCATGAACCCTGCAGGAAGAACATTTGTGCCCGGAACAGTTCCAGAAGGATGTTGTTCCTTATGAACACCTCCAGCATGTTACTGGCCGATCCGGCGAACACGGCAAACAGAAGTAAGGTGTGGACGTGAGCATCGAGGGGTTCCCGACCATGCACATGGTACAAGAAGAGGAATCCTGGGTGATCCAAGAGAGGAAATGTTCAAAATGAATCTTAAGATGCACGTCAGAGAGACAGCATTGGGAATGTATTTACCTTCAACAAAAAGAGCAATTGAGAGAGCCAGGCGGTCAACACCAAGCGGCACCCGTTTGATCGTCACACTGGCAAGCAGCGCTGCTCCTGAGATCCCAAAGAACAGATACATGGTGCTGTGCTGCCAGTTCATCAGCTTGACCCATGAGGTGTTCTCCCGATCATAGAGGCGAGCATGTGGGCCGTCCACCACAAACTGCTCCACCATGATACCTGTCAGGCAGGTAACAGGGCTATAGTGTCACACAGTGTTTTGGAAAAGTTTTTAAACTTTGGTTCTTGTATAAATAAATAAATCAGGATTTGATGTGACAGACTAACCCAACACTAAAGGAAAATCATACCTACGTTTTAGCCAGCAATCAAAAATTGGTTGAAAAGACGGCATGATTTACATTTTTAAAAAATTACATTTGGTTAAAAAAGAAAAAAGCCGTCATTTTCAGATTGATGAAAAGATGTTAAAACTGGGTTTTAAACATCTTTTAAACATCTTTTATGTGACTAAAATAAGAATGACCAAACAAAGCCCAATTTTCAATATATAACAAAAATACATGTAGTGCCCTTTAGGCTTAAATACCTAAATAAAGGCCATCTTTCAAATTTAGAACAATTAATTTCCTTCAGAAGTCACCTACTGAGAGAATAGACTCCATTTTAATTTAGTGATATTTTAAGAGTCTTATGAGGAAAGGAACCAAGGAGCCAATGCCACCTCTGAAGGGACCTGCAGCTGATGTTGAAGAATATCTTAACAGGACAGCTTTAGTTTGAGCTTCACAAGTAAAAAGAAGTATTTGGGTCTAAAGTTTGTGAGGGGACACAGAAGCTCTGGTCTCATGTAAATGGAACTAATATTATTACATATACCAAAAAACGAGTGATGCATTTCATCCTGAACATGTCACCCTAATGGTGAAACACAGTAGTGGCAGCATCATGATGTGGGTTTTTCTACAAGAAAGGGAAAGGGAAGCTGGCGAGAGTTGTGAACCCTCACTCTTCCTTTAATTCTGGTTGTCTTTATATAGATTAACTGCTGTCTAAAGATATACTCATCATTTAGGAAATGTCTTCAAAAATACACTTAACAGCTTCATTACCTTTTCTTTGTTAATGTTTATTTTAAAAAAACATTTATATAAAGGTTATTGTGTTGTGTCAGTTCCAGATCTTTTATTACTTTCTGAAAGCTTTTGCCGTTTGCCTAGACCAGGGCGATTGAGGAGATATTTTATCTCATCGGGGTATCGTTGATCAAATGCAGGAAGGAATAACATTAATTATTCCTTGGCTTCCATTCAAGGCATATCCATGCTTTAGAGTGACCTAGTCAAAGTCCAGTTCAGAGAACTATGGAATATGTTATATAAGACTTTAAAACAGATATTTCTGAATGTTCTCCATCTAATATGATCGATCTGATGAAACTTTGATAAGCAAAGTGGGGGATTATGAGCTATAATTGCAACTAGAGAATTGACTATATGCATGCAAAGATTCTGTGATCTGTTTATAAAAATATTTTTTACGTTTCTTTTACCTCAGATTCACAAATATGGGCTTTTTTGTGTTAATATGTCAAACAAATTCCAGATTAAATAAATTAAAATGAAATGCATGTTTAAGGGACTAACCAACAAATGATGCAAAGATTTGAAATCCTCCTTCAACGTAATCCATCTTCTTAAAGAAAGGAGGCATGATCTGCCTCCCTTTGGGCTGACTTGTCCTCCAGTAGTGTTGGAGAACATGCTTCACTGTTAACCAGAACCCAAACAGCAGGAAAAAGGAGCCCGGTATGGCGTGTCCTCCAAAGTTGGCCATTGTTTGGCCTAAAAACAAAGAAAAGTAAGTTTTGCTTAGTCATGTCGGACACACACACAAACAATTGTTATCATTTGGGTAAATGGGTTTTATTTCTCCTGGCTTAAAATCATTCAGTTGGCAGGTTAAAGATCGCTTTTTGAGGAGTGTTTTACAGCACGTCAGCCTCATAACGATCCCAAGTGATTACCAGTAAAGATAAACAACTCAAACCAGCAGCTGGCAGTGGGAAACTAGCATTCCTAACATGCCTAATGGCTTGCATATGTCATCAAACAGGTTTCTTGTTGTTTTTTTTATTTAAACTTTGACAAAAAAAAGGAATATTCCTGATCCTACACTGACAGGAAGTATTTATGTTACAAAGAAGGTAGTACCTCATTTGTTTTGCAAAACTGACATTCAAATCCCAAGACTTCTGCTTGTGTGAAAAGCAGGACAAACTTAAAGAGTCGTCTTCCAGTTTAAGTTTTTCATGGAAAAATGGAAGGCAGTTTGTATCAAAGAGACTCCATTGTCATTTGTTGTTTTTGCACTGTAAGTGTGATACTGGGCATGCAGCATGGGTGTGTATCTACCAACACCTGCTCAGTCAGACAAGTTTTTCTTGATCAGACCAGTTTTTCCCTATATGACTTCCACTTTACATCTACTCTAACACAGGAATCAAGAAACCGGAGTATAGACAAAAAGATCTACTTCCTCCATCAGGTGAGCAGCTCTGTCTCAATACCTTAATGTGAAAATAAACACCAGCCTCACAATATACACAATGTTATTTTTTTATATATATACATACCTTACTCTTGTCGCTGTTTAATTTCCCTCCCCAAAAAAACAAACCTGTAGTTTTCTCTCCAGGTCTGCCTTAGAGCGACAGCCCTCTTCTCAGTGTAAACCGTGCACACCTGTTGTGTTGCTCCTCTAACCTGTACTGCCAGCACATAACCACACCCCTCATCAGCACTGCTTTCAAGCTGATGGTACATCCCTCTGGGACACATTCAGGCAGGAAGTGCCTGTTCACAGAGCAGCTTGTTTATTCAGGTATTCATCTAACAACAAAAGTAAAGCGTGCCACATAAAAACCCACTTGAGTTGGGTTTAAAAAAAATTAATCTTTGTTTTTAAAAATACATATTAACCTAAATCTAGTAAATAGCCATAAGGATAAAAATAAATCCTTTATATCGTCTGTATTTTTAATAAATCCCTGGCATTCATTTAGTTTTAAAAGATTTAAAGGATATTATACTCAGGTAGTGTAAAAAAAAGCAGCCATATGATTTGGTTAATGTGTAAACTGTGTGCACAAGGTAGCAGTGTGGAGCTGTTCAACTGAACTTTGCACCCTTTATCAATAAAACTTTATTGCCACTATTATTAGGTTGAAAAGATGATCATTTCACACGGTCACCAAAAAGCTGCTTTAATTAAAGACAATGATGCACATATAAAAAAAAAAAAAAAGATCCTGTTTTCAACGTGGTTAGAGTATGACACAGAATAACTTCTTCTCTCTGAAGGGATTCTCTGATGACGGGACAGGAGTCACCAGAGGGTCCTCTTTAGCGTGAGCTTCACAGTAGGACATCAGTTCTGCAGCTGCTTTGGATACCTGCAAAAAAAAAAGGTGTTTTAAGATGAAACTTTACTCTTTGACTTATTTGAATGCACTGATTTAAAACATATTTGCTTACATCACATTAGACTTTAAGATCGGACTAGAATCTATGGAATTACATTTAAATCTGTCTATCCCACAGGATTAATCTCATTGTATATTTCTGTATATAGACGTGATACTGTGGTTCTTCTAACGGGTCTTTAGATCATTTCTAACTGGTGCTGGTGTTATTTCAATAATCTTATTGCTGTTTGTACTTGCAGATTTTATTTTAAAACATAATATCCCCATCTGTGCACAATTGACAGTATTTGCATAAAGTTTTTGTATGAAGAGGCCGAAAGACAAGTCACTCATTTTGTGATCAAACCCCTACTTTTTATGCAACTTATCAGACCTTCATAGTATTATTTTAAGTTACTGTAGGTATATAAATAGTTATTTACTTTGTGCTGAATTAATCATACAAGGTTCTCCTATTTATATACCGTTGGTTTTACTCTTTAAAAAGTCTAAGGATATGCTTTTTGTTAAATAAAAAAAATTAATATGCTTCTACATGTTTAGAAAAAAGTAAATACATTTTTTTCAGATATCAAACTATTCTTTCAAGAAACTCAGCTCACTTTAGGTTCCTTTGGTTTTGAATGTCTGGGTATTTTACTCAAGAGGAATACATATGCAGTCTACATTATTCAGAAATGCTTTGGTTACCTTTTAGTGGCGTACTAGAAGCTGTAACACAGGTACCAACTTTTGCAAAAGGCTGTACGGTCATGTTTTCTTGCAGTGCTAACATGGTGCACATCTGCTTTAGAAGACTTCTTAATTAGCATGTGAAGCTCCCATAGATATGCTGCCCTGGGTGGTGAGCCGCATCAATAAGCCACTGAATACATATATGTATGGGCGTGAGTGTGAACATACACAACGACACCTGCTGTGATAATAAAGGAATTGACTTTTTATTGTAGAGCAAACTTACCATCATCCTCTCTATGTTGACCTCCAGCTTCAGCTGCTCCACCGTTTTCCTTGCATCTGCGATCTTGGCCATGTTATTAGACATTTTGCCTCTGAAATCTTCCAGCTGGCAGCAAATTTAAATCTGCATTAAAAGCAAAAACAAAAGGGGAAAAAATAGAATCAGATAGAGCAAATAACTGGTGTTGAATGCAATGTTTACTCTGTTTCAATTTGCTTGTTAATTCTGCTCCCTGGGTCTCAGGTGCAAGTTGTGCAGGGAGGGTCTCAAAGGAGGAGGGTAGGGGAGCGGAGGCAGAGCAGCCTTCCCCAGGGGCATCATCCCGCCACCAAGTGTAAATACATTTAATATTAACATGTTACTCTTTGAAAAAGATATGTGATATAGAGCTGATTCAACTTTTTGCAATGCTTTCACTTTTAATACAAAAGTTGATGTTAATTTTGAACCAATTGTGCATAGCATACATTAGTATGCATCTAACAACAAAAGCATGTATTGCTCAAACCAAAATAGAAAAATGCTTTATTTTATAGCTATATTTGAAATCCAGCAGAAATGTTAGCAATAGAATATAAGTTAAAATGCATGTAAAAATATTGACAACTATTTTCCTCACAGAAACAAAAAACAAATGTTCTTACCTGCAAGAAAAACTAAGCAGCAGCTGGTTTCTTTTAATCAAATCACCTTTTGTCCTCAACAGCGTTCACCGCACACAATAACAGTAACAAACAAAGTGAGATTAATTGCAGAAGATGAGGAGGAAGGCTTCAGTAGGTTCCCTCCTTCAAACAGGATTGGCTCCATGCAGCACTGAAAGGCAACCTGTGGTGTGACCTTCATCTCCGAAGTCTCTATTAGTCCTGAGATAACAGGAAAGCTGAGAGACCAACAGTTAAAAAGGAAGAATAGCTTGAAAAAGGTGATAAAACAATGTAGTAACACCTGAAAGGAAGATCAAAAAGGATCATAATTTCTATGACTTTAATTTTCCTGTTGGTAATACATCCCCAAGGAAGTTTATTAATCATTTGGAAATAGAATTACAGACTTTGATTCATCAGGGACAAAGAAATACCTAATAGGACCAATGAAAAGGGACAATAGGTGTTTTCCATTTCAAATATTTTAGCAGAGAGAAGCATTTTCTATTAGATTGATCTGTTATTGGAATTTGCTTATATTTTTTTTGTCTGAACTGCAATTATTTTCTGAGGTTACGTAAAGCAGATCAGCTGATTTATGTTGTTAATAATAATATAAATAATAATAAAATGCAAGGTACACACAAGGTGAAAATGTATATCTATATTTGCTGTATGTTAGAGGAATAATTAAGGATAATGCTACTAAATGTCAACAACATACTTTGGAAACCTCTGATATTTCAAGCAAAGGGGAAATAAATCTTAATAAACAAAAAAAAGAAAGGTCTAGTTTGAGTTATTGTCAGATAACTAGAAAAAAAGCAGCATTTGTATTTTTCTGAAGTGTGTGTAAATAGTTGGTTTCAACAATATATGTTGCTCGCTGTAACCACATTCCTTCAAAGGCTGCCAGCCTTTCCTGGCTGTTATTTCAAGGAGCAGTAGGGGGCAAAGTGACTGTATTATGAAGTTAAATGTCAAGTGCCTCATTAACATTTGTTTCCGCTCAGTAATTGGCTTCCCTTCATGAACGATATAGAGATCTTATGAGTAAAAAGAGCTAATGTTAAGAAGAAATCCTAAATTAGCTAGTTGTTTTGCATTATTCAGTTCTATAAGGTTTAACATATTATCAGCATCACATCACAGGCCATATTTATTAGTGTTAGCCATCAAGGTCCACCAGCATCCCTCTGTCTCATACTGCTCATTTATGATTTATGATGCATCAAAATTAATGCAGAGGCGTGCGACCAATGTGTCCCATATTTCACAACAAACTGTATGGAAAGGCTTTAAAAAGCAGTTAGAATACTTATTAATAGCATTTCCTCTGATATATAAGAGAATCAGACTCTGGAAAACATTAAAACTGAGCAGTGCAATAAAAATAAAGTCCAATAAACTAAATTTAAAAATAGAATTGCAAACAAATCAGTAGATAAAAGAGCATGGTCCATTTTGGGGAAATTGGCCATGCATTCTTTTTATTCATGTTGCTGGTCCAAAAGCAAAATACAGTAATATTATAAAACCATCTATGTTTTATTGACCTTTTTTTCCTCTAATAAATGCACAAAGACAAGGAAAACAAAGTTGTGAGTACTGATCTACTCTCTAGTGTTTCCCAAAGGGTCACTGAAAAACCCTCCCAGCTATCTCTGCTTTATGCGTGTCTAAGTCACAAGAATCACAAGAGGCACAGCAATATAGTTGATCAAGGGGATATCACTAAACACTGAGGCATACTAGTGACTTTCAAAATAATTAAAATTATATTTAGGTTGTAAAGGGTTAAAATGTTATATCCTTGAACAAAGGTTTGGCTCTGACAGTACAGTCTTTCAGAATCTGTGTTTTATTGCTAAATTATCCTGAAATCTACAGTTTTGTTAAATATTTCTCCCTGCAACTTCAAAAGCACTTTTGAAGGAGAGACAAGAAAAAAGCGTAAAATACTTAAGTGATGTCATCAGAGTCTTGTGGTCATGAAGGCTTTTTGGAATGGAGTTATGGTTATATTTTGATTAAATAGTGATTGACACTGAAATAGCCCAAAAATTAGGGAAACTGATCCTGATAATAATCATTTTTAAAGAAAGGTTTGCCTTGTAATGATAAATCACAGGTTGTAATTTTTTTGTGGATATCAGAGATGAATAAAGTTTATATTACATCACTGTGTAAAATTAAGCTCTTGCACTCAAATGTTTTCTTTTTGTCTGCACCTTGCATGCAAACTTAGAAAGACGCTGCTGAAAGAAGGGGATGAACTCAAATATTAATATAATTTATGTTACCACAATCAGAGGTTTGTATTAACTAGTTTCATTTACTCAGTTACATTTACTTAAGCAACTATTATGTTTACTTTTAGCAGCAGCTTTACAGGCATTGTAGTTTTTACTTTTACTTGAGTAAAAATATGGTAAAATATCACTACTTATACTTGAGTAAAATTTCTGGCCACTTTATCCATTGTAAGAAACTTAACATAATGAAAACCAGCCTGGTTTTGAAAAAAAAGGAACAAAAAAAAAAACCCAACTTTTTGGGAAAAAAAAAAAGAAACATTCTTTTTTGTGCTCAAGGTTCATTGGTTAATGTTATTTTACTGTGTCATTTGTAGGTTGAGTGAAAATACAGTAAACGGTATACTGTCATTTAATCTATTCTCACACACTGTCGCTATTTATTTGGTTAGTTTTATAACTCGAAAAATGTGTTTTGAAAGGTGTTCATTCCATCAATTTTTTATTGTGTAGCTAATTACTGTATCTTATATGTTTTTTTCTTATTTTATCTTATTATTTAAAACACCTGAATTTCCATATCACTTAAGAGTCTGTTCAATTTTACATTACTTTGTAAAATATTTATTTGGTTGTTATGATCATTAAGTAGATTAGTTAATTAGTATTTTATTAGCCTTTTTTTTTACCAAATACTTTTTCACTTTTCCTTTAATCATTTCTAAAGAAGTAACTTTTTTTTACTTTTAATGAAGTAAATATATGATGAAGTAGAGTGCTACTCTTTCTAAAGCATGATTCTTTGGTACAACACGTCTGAAAATAATTTAAAACGGATAAAAGTGAGCTGTAATAATTTTAATTTATAAAATTCTTCTGCTATCAATACTTTAAGATAGCATACTCTAGCATATGTCTCAGGATTATAGTTTTAACTCTTTCATTTTTATTTTATAAATTTTGGATACGAATCGTTTTGACTAGTGGATGTGTTGTGCTTTTTCTACCACTAGATGGTGCTAAAGTCATTGGATATTAGGACATTGTAAATTGAGCAGAATTAGGTCTGTTGTGTTAAAAAGTACCTAATAAATTTGTTTAAATTATCATAAATTAATCATTTTATACCAACGTATATAAAGAGAACATTAAACACTTGCATTTTATAAATGATTGATATGTGGAAGTGCTGCTTACTGCTTTATTGCTATAGATTGTTTTACTCTCCTCTGCCTACAATATAATCATGTAGAACTAAAAGGTTTTAAAATGTTTACTTATAATAAACAACAATAAGGATAATGACATATAATTTATTTCAAGACAGAAAACTTAAAACTGTAAAAATATACTTTATCAAAATGTATTTTTATTCTGGTCTTCCTGGGTAAAAGCTTTATGGGAATTCTTCCCATAATGCCAACACCTGTTTCCATTTCTCCTGAATGCCTTGAAGGATTTTGACTTTTCCACTGGATATAAAACCCGAACCAGTTTTTCTAGTTTGTGGCCTCTGAACCTAACTGACACATATATATTGTTTTCTTTCATGTGTGAATACAAGCATTTCTGCAATTTCTTCATGTACTAAATTCAATTTTATGAATAACAAAAATGAGGTTGTTTAAATGACAATATGCTTTTCTATAATTTCTTAATCTGCTGTTTCCAGGGCCTCACCAAAGATGCCCCGGTTATTGATTTGGCTGAAACTTCTGCTACATCAAAATGAATAATTCAAGCCTGAGTTATATATTTGTAACCAATCAGATATCAATACAGCTTTTTTAGGGAAATATTTTGATATAAGTTTAGCCATGTCTTTTAAAATACATTAAATAATGTAAGATTCTCACAATAAGTCAATAAATATAATCATCACTATCTAAAAAAAAAAAAATGTATTGGCCTAATTTGTTTAATATTACTATATTAATTTAGCAACAATGACTCTAAAGTGTTCTAAATATTCCTTAATAAACTAAAAAAATGTAATCTTGAGACAGTTATTATCTCATCTTAAAAATAAATTAAATCAATGACATCGCAGTTAAATGGAATACACAAATAAATGTCAGAAAAAGAGACATAGGAAGAATTACATGACTGCTATTAATCTACATTTTGGGATCTGTTGTTTCTCCAATTTAAAGCTGGTGCTGATGCTGAATCTGCATCTACATCTATTTGTGTGCTCGTACGAGAACAACATAAATATTAAAATGCATAACTGTGTGGTAAATAATCTCTATTAGGTGTAGAATCGCTCAGGTTAGGTTAAGCAGCACTTGAGATTTTGAACTCGATGTCAATAGAGAATAAAGACTGTACAATATCCCTTCATTTTAGCCGTTTGGAGATTTTAACTTTAGCATAATTATGCTGAGTTTACACATAATCCATCTATCTTATCTGTTCTCATTTCTTTTTACTCAGAAAAACAATTTAACTCAATCAATTTAAAATTGGTGGAGTCCTCTCTTGTAATGCATTAAACCATGATATAAATTTTGGACATTGCAAAGCATTGATAAAGGAAGATACAGTTTGCTCTGTCGTTCTATCCTTACTACTGCAAACGCCCCTCTAGCAAGATCCTAATGAAACACACTCAAAAGAATATGCACCCCCCCACCATGCATGGGGACAAAGCAGCTGCTTCATGGTTGTCCCATCCTCTCTTGCGGCTCCTTATGAGAGACCCCATTAAAGCCATGCAGGACACAGGAACCAGAACCTTCTGACTGGCAAAGTTAAGTAGGTGTGTTTGTAATCTTAGCACCAGACTCTGCAAAACAGACTTTCTGTTACCTGTTATTTTACCTGTTATTCAGGGACCTTGCCAATGAAGCAAGTGAGGCCTACCATATGTAACCAGAGACATTTCTATGGTTTGGCTTGAGGAAGATTAAATTCTGTTACACCTGCCATCATGTTCTCTAGTCAATTAATGTACATATATATATATATATATATATATTGCATCATTTTTCATTTTCATTCTTTCTTCTTTGTGTACATAGTATCTTAGTTTACTTGAGTTTCACTAGTTTAGTCATGATATTTTACCTAGATTATGCTGTACTTGGAGTTGAATGATTATTATTAATAGATAATTATATTTAATAAAAAAATAATTAGATTTTGAAACAATGTTGTTGATCTGAGCTTGGGTCACCATAACATTTTTTTGTCTTAACAGACATCCAGTTGGGCATGTGTTCACAGAAAAATGTATGACAGTCTGAAAGTTATTTAGCTGAATATCAAATATGCCACCCCGTTGAGGTGGGCATTAAATAGAAGGTTGCATATCATATTTTGTAGTTCCTGTGCTAGCATTAGATATTACACTCTACATTATAGAACGCCCTAATGTGTCTTTTTTGAGAAATAGATTTTTTTCATTTCAGTAATTCAGGATCTTCTAAAGCAGTTTATTAAGAATAAATGTTATCATCATTAAAAAAAATGTTAAGCCCTAAAATACCCAGGTTATTCAATATAACAGACAAATATAAAATTCTTTATTAATTTAGATTTATTAATTTAGTTTTTTCTTCCAGCTGTTCCAGAGGAGGGCTGAGTAAGGAGATCTCATATTAGGCACATAGCATGTGCCTGATATGAGATTAATTTTCCTGCACAAACTGCAAAAACATGCTTTTGGGGTTTTATTGTTAAGATTTTTTATTTTTAAAATATGGCACCTTTAACCTTTTAAAACCCAACGGGTCACCGGCAACCTGGTGGATCTTAAGTAGGGGTAATAATTCATGCATAAAATTCCACCTGTAAAAATTTTTACCAGCAGGTGAAGTCATTGCTGACACAAAAACTGTTATGGCTAGAGGTCTGAAATTTTCTGCATTTGTGGTTGACATGATGTAGAACAAATATAATACAATAAACTCTGCTTTTCTCAAGAATGTATTTATTACTGCTTTTCAAAAAAGACCTATCATTTCCGAGAATAAAAAAACAACAACTTTGAGTCATGTTTGACCTGATGCAGGTTGGTCTGTGTTTTAGTCACCCAGTTTGAATTTCTTATTAGGAAACTAGAGGGTGTTAGCTTTCAAATAATGTATTGCACATGTAATTTGGGCTTACAGTTCCTAAGTAATTTGCTTTCCCATTTGGGTATGCAAAATAGGCAGCGATTACCCAAAATGAAGTGGATATTAAGAGGTTAAAATATAAAACAAGCTCTTGATCTGCTCCTTGTGTGTGTGTGTGTGTGTGTGTGTGTGTGTGTGTGTGTGTGTGTGTGTGTGTGTTATTCTTTTCCTTTTTGGCCCCTATTAAAAATTCACTTGCTGGTTCAGAAAACTGGTTCTGATGCATCTGGCCCCCTCACACCCGATGCTGCCCTGGGCAGTGTATCGAAAAAAGTGTAAAATCATGTTTTGTGTAGCACTGGAGGCTAGGGGAAAAAACAAAAAAAAACTTTTATTGAAATATTAAGTCATAATCAGAATGTTCCTGCTATTTTTAACACATGCTTAGTGTTGGAAATTAAACTACAGGCTAAATTAGAAGGACGACCTTTGGTTCCTTTCATGTGTCTTATTCTATGTATCTTATAACGTTATGCTATGCTTTTTCTCATAGTAGCTTTGGCTCGTCTGTTCCTGTTTGGCTGTGACTGCCATCAACACCCAATCGCTCTTTTATTGTGTAGTCCTGTTTCTCTGACTGTGACTGGCTGGATGTGCTCTCTCCATCCTCTGACATGGGAACTGTCTCGGAGCTCGTCTGCCTGGCTATGTGTTTCCTGGACCAGGTCGCATTTTACAGTTGCTTTTTGTATCTCTGTTTCTGTCTCCTTGAACCCCAGTCGGCCTCAGCAGATTGCCGCTCACACTGAGCCTGGTTCTGCTGGAAGTTTTCTCCTGAGTTTTTCCTCTCCACTGTCGCTACAAGCATGCTTCAAGTCAATGAGTCGAAGCAATCAACTGGTTTTCCTTAGATAGAAAACTTTGAATCAATTTGACTGTATAATCTGGTGAACTGTAAAGTGCCTTTAGGTGACATGTGTTGTGAATTGGCGCTATATGAATAAACTGAATTAATTTGAAATATATCGCCAGTATCAAAAACCATAACTGTTGTAATATATCGGAAAAACGTGGGAAAAAAGTAAAAATAGTATGAAAACCCCAGGAGTATGAAATCATGTTGTGTGTAGCACTGGAGGGTAAGGGAAAAAACAAAAAACTTTAATGAAATATTAAGTCATAATCAGAATGTTCCTGCTATTTATAACACATGCTTAGTGTTGGAAATTAAACTACAGGCTAAATTAGAAGGACAACCTTTGGTTCCTTTCATGTGTCTTATTCTATGTATCTTATAACATTCTGCTCTCCCTGCTTTTCCTCATAGTAGCTTCGACTCGTCTGTTCCTGTTTGGCTGTGACTGCCATCAACATCCAATCACTTTTTTATTCAGTGTAGTCTTGTTTCTCTGGCTGTAACAGGCTGGATGTGCTCTCTCCATCCCCTGACATGGAAGTTGGCCTGGTTCTGCTGGAGGTTTCCTCCTGAGTTTTTCCTCTCCACTGTCACAACAAGCATGCTTAGTGTGAGGGATTGCTAATCAACGGCTTTTCCTTAGATAGAAAACTTTGAATCAATTTGACTGTATGATCTGGTGAACTGTAAAGTGCCTTTGGGTGACATATGTTGTGAATTGGCGCTATAGAAATAAATTGAGTTGAATGATACATTTTCCCAGATGCAATGAAGCTAATCATTTCTAGGAAACAAGAGAGCTCATAGATTCGCCTAAAACCCCAAAACAGGCTAACTTGTGAAAATCGCTCAGTCTTCAGGGTTGTACCACCATCATCATCATCATCATAACTGAGGTGGGCGTGAAGGGACACTTCACTGCTAGCTAGAATGAAAACCCTGAGAGGAGTGAGCTGAATATTCAGCAGCTCGGTAGCTTAGTTTCTATAAACGCTCAGGCCAGATGAAACATTTCTGCTTCTCCTAACTGAACGCAGCTCCCGAGCTAAGTTAGAGCAGAGAAGAAACGCAGGGCTGGGACCGTGATTCAGCGAGCTAGCTAAGAGAGAAAGAGGAAAAGACTGATTAACGTAAACTGTTTGGCTGAATCTTCTTCGGCGGCTGTTAGCTTCGTTTTATCCGCCGGCTTTTTTTTTCTCCTCCCAACAAGATGAAGGGAAGGTCGGGATGACAGGAAGATGGCAAACGGGGCTGGAAGTGAGTAACTGGTGCACTAACTTCCCTTCATGGCAGCCCTGCTCCGCTGCAGGGATTAATGCATGTCACCGCGGGCTGACGGCTCCATCTAAAGCACAGCTGTTCGCTCAGCTCTCATTAACGGACACTAACGACATTTTGGTTTTCTGTCCGATTTAATGTTGGATTATAGTTCATGAAACTAAAGAGAAAACATGTCAGGCTCCCCAGAGGCCTATGTGAGCGAAACCATCAACAGAGCAAAAAAAAAAAAAAAGGTTTTATTTCTATGTGTGTATATTTATAAATAACGTCTTCACCCTTCCCACATGTGTAGAGCACAAGCTGCTTGTGATTGGACCGACGGAGCCATGGTCAGTGAGGGAGAAGCTGTGTTTGGCCACATCTGTCATGAAGAGCGGGGATCAGAACTGGTAAAGCTTCCTCTTTCCGCCCAGTCAGCCCAGAACCATCCATTCAACTCTTCATCAGGTGTTACTGATATACAGCATAGAGGCCAGAGGTGTGAATGAGGGCGTAGGTTTGATTAGGGACACTATTGGTCTGACGTCATTGGTCCTATGCAAAAATATGCATGCTCGTTTTTTTCATGATTGACGTGAAAATCAGGGTGTATTTCGTTTAAAGAGAAACACATCATTTCTTGCTACATCTATACAAATGTTATAAGCACTACACACACTAGATGCTGTTTGTCAATGACTGACTGACTGAGTTTGATTCCTGGCCCGGGGTCTTTCTGCATGAAGTTCTCCCTGAGCATGTGTGGGATCTCTCTGGGTACTCCGGCTTCCTCCCACAGTGCAAAAAACATGACTGTTAGGCAAGGGCGTAGGTTTGAGTTCCACTTTGGTAGGAACACTATTGGCCCAAAGTTTCATTAATGTAATTTTACCTATGCAAAAATATGCATGCTTTTTTTATGCTTGATGTGAGCATCTGGGTGCATTTCGTTTAAAGAGAAAAGCAGCATTTCTTGCTACATTTATACTAATTTTATAAGCACTACACACACTAGATGTTGTTTATCTATGTTTCAAGCGTCGCCGGCTCTGATGAATGAGGAATTAGGACTTGTTTCCACTTTGAAAAGGTTTCAATTTAAACTTACCAGTGACTAAGACAGCAGGTAAATATGTGCCTCTTTAATCAAATATAGTCTAAATATGCCTGTTATATGGGGATTTATACTGTATTTTCTTTTGAAGATATATAATTGTGCAAAGGTAAACAGGTGAAACACACTCTTATTTTTTAAATGCTCTCTCTGTATCATGAAACAACGCAAAATAACACATTCAAGGGACACAAATGCATTTATTGTATTTACATGTAGCGGCATCATCTACAAAACACGACATTAAGAATGTGATTAAATTTAATTTAATATAAAATCACTTTTAACAATTATTAAAAGAAAATATAACACCATCTTGTCTGTAAGCTAATAATATTCAAAATAAGTGAAACCGTAATAATGCTTTCTAAACAAAAATAGCAGATCTTTAGGCGCCATCTCGTGTTGTTATACTCTATAAAAGAAATAACACCTGCTATTTATAGCTGAACTGCCTCAAAGGGTCGTCATAAAATGAAAACAGTAACTGTAATGAAGTATTGTTAAAAGGGAAACCTTCGCATTTTCTTTTTCAGTCGGCTATGGCTAAGAATCAGCTATCAGCAGCGTTCGTCTGTTTTAGTGTAGATACAATTAAGTTTTTTTTCATTAGGACTAGTTTCCTAATATTATTTGAAGTAACTAGCGTGAATAAAATTCTTATTTCGTGCTCCAAGCACGCACACGCATACGGACTAGAAAACAGCCAATCAGGAAGAGAGAAGGCGGAACTTGAGACAGAACAACCAATGAGAGTGGAGTTAAACAGCACAGTTATTGATTTAAGGGACAGGAAAGACTGGGCAGCACACAGACGGAGCGACAGCAGCAGCTACTAAGCTGCGAGAGAAAAAGAATTGGCTTGATCCACCACGCTGAATTGTAAATTAAAAACATGTTCAATAAACATGTTATTAAAATCGAATTATTGGTAGGGACAAATAGGTCGGTCCAAAATTTTGGTAGGGACATGTCCCTATGGTCCCTATGCAAACCTACGCCCATGACTACACACACTTGATGCTGTTTATCAATGACTGAAGCTTAACCGGCTCTGATGAATGAGGAATTAGGACTTTGAAAAGTTTAGCATTTGAAATTACCAGCGACTAAGACAGCAGGTAAATCTGTGCCTATTTAACAGAATATGGTCTAAATATGTCTGTTATACGTGGATTTATACTTTCCTTATTTTGGAGATATAGTATTGTGCGCAGTAAGTAGCACTGCTGCCTTGCAGCGAGAAGGTTCCGGGTTCGATTCCCGGCCTGGGGTCTTCCTGCATGGTGTTTGCATGTTCTCCCTGAACATGCATGGGTTCTCTCCGGGTACTCCGGCTCCGGGTTAATTGGCTTCTCTAAGGTCCCCTTAGGTGTGAGTGTGTGTGTGAATGGTTGTTTGTCCTGTTTGTCTCTGTGTTGCCCTGCGATGGACTGGCGACCTGTCCAGGGTGTACCCCGCCTCTCGCCCAATGACTACTGGAGATAGGCACCACCACCCCTCACGACCCCACTTGGGATAAGCATGTTAGAAAATGGATGGATGGATAGTATTGTACAGAGGTAAAACCCACTCTTATCTTGTAAATATTCTCTTTGTATCATGAAACGAAACAAAGTGAAATAATAGATTCAAGGGACGCCAAATAAATGTATTGTATTTACATATGCACTGGAACTAGAAGAGGTACTGAGCATTTAATATA